GAGAGCGGCGCTGTGGAGGCCGGGGACCGGTCCCTCGCCGGCCGCAGCCGTTGCTTACCGGCCCCCTCAGGGTAACGGCCGCCCCGAGTTCCGCGGCCTCGGGGGCTTCATCCCCTCAGGGGCGTTTGGTCTTGAGGGCGCGGTGAGGTTAAACCCGGGCCCCGCGTCGTGAGGGTGACCGGGGGTTTGTCCTCAGCGCTGGTGGCGGGGGGCAGGGGCGAAGCCCCGGGACTAAATTGTCCTGTAAATACCTGCCCCCACCTCGGTGCCCCTTCAGTGAGGGTGATTCTGACTTAAATGCCAGCCGAGCTATCAGCGATCGCTGAGGTCCACCGAGGGCATGGTAGGATTTGATTTTTAAGGCAGGATTTGAGAAAGACTAATTGCTTGTTTTGGAAATGTGGAAAGGAAGGGAGGTGGAAGGAGGCAGGAAAGATAATTACAGGAGAGGAGGATCGTTATGGGGTCAAGGCTTAACAACAGAGTTGGTGTGTTTAGGGGCTTGTCTGTGCTTTGTGGTTTCCCAAAACAGACAGACTACAAAGAATAAAATAAGATTTTTGAGTTTCTTCAGTGTGTCATGCAAAAATACTCTAACCTACTTGGGAAATGTGTAACAGCAGCAAGAGGGGCTGCTAACAAAATGATGTAAAAGTGCCAGAAAGAGAGAAATTTGAGTGTAAGTCGGTTACTAAAGCAATATGTTCTTAAGTTTGCACAATGAGTCATGCTCCAGTTGAGGTGGTTCACCTCACCCACAATGAAAAATACGGCAGAAGAGCAACTTCCTTTAACTGCCATGCAACTTGTAGTGCAGACCTATTTTTTTAACTGCAGTTTAAGAACCTTGTTCAATTATAGCCGCAGTATTATAAAACATGCCCCTGAAATCAGAATTAACTATAGATGTAGGACCCAAGACTACCGGTCAAGGTAAGACCTGGAACATTATGGTTAGCTGGCTTAAACTTTAAGGGGGGAAATGTCTGTGTCTCTTTGATTATGGCAATCTCCTGCAGAGGTGGTTGACTGAAACGCGTCTGGAATCTTCTCGAATCTTCTTTCCTGTTGACCTGGTCTAATATTCTCAGGTATAGTAAATTCACTCAGTGGAAAGATAGGGAAGCAGGCATGTGTTTCAGATTTGCAGATCAACATGTTTATTAGATTTTTATGATGAAGTATGTACGGCTGAAAAACAAATGTGACCCTAGTGATCTTGAGTTCTTGCACGTCTGTTTTATGGAGCTTGCTCCATAAAACCAGTAAGAGGTTTCTAGAAGAATGGTAATAGATGTTCCAGTTAATCTGCATTTCCAGGGAAGGGTTACATCATCAATGATATTCAACCTTTGTTATTGTTGTTTAACCCCAGCAAATACAGGTAGCTGAAAGGTTAAATAGCTTTACCTGTAATTATATTCATTGCTATGAATTATATGACTAGGCATTTTCTATTTAAGGCAAATTGCCTTTTAAACAACAATAAAGGGCAGCGAAGCTGTTTGACTAGTTTTTATACACTAAGCACTTCCTGCTCTTGGTGCTTATTGTTTTTACTGCAAGCAATAAAATTTTGGCTGCTCTCCTTCATGCCATTTAAAAATTGGATGTGCCTTTCCAATGCTGCTGAGTTGAGACTTGCAATTACCGCTGGTCTGGAAGGTATTTTGCATATTTGGACAGTAGCTTCACTTATTACTCATTTACTAAATGAATACAGCAAATACAGCCTCTCTGAGTCATTTTAACCACTTGTGCAGCCATAATGACCTTCACATAAAGCGAGGACTTCAAAAATGGGAAAGTTCTACTCCTTTCATGAAAAATACTGTTTTGCAGAAAGGCTCTGTTGGTGTCGCCACTGAAAAAGACAAAATTGCAGAGGCTCATTCCTTGTTTCCAGGAAGTTACTGGGAAGGGGGAAGTCTTTAGATGGTATTTCTCTGGTATTTCATACCAGGGAATTCAGTCAAGAGACACGCTGCAGTAGCAGATTAGGCTCCAATCAGTGCTGTTCATAGATATACTTGTTCTATTCGTGATTTGAATTCTGAATAGTCAGAGAAAGATGGCATCACTGCAGACTGATGTAACATCTGCAGGTGCTGATCTCCAAGCCTCCCGGAGTTTCAGACATCCAGGTCGTAAAATTTTCCATTAGCATCATAGTTTCCTCACGAGGTGGGAAACTCCACCACCTAACTATTTCTGAATTCAGTAGATTCTTCAAGTAGTTTCTCAACAATTTGACATTTCTGCTCAGTAGGCTCAGACATCCCCAGTTCATAAAGAGTATCTGCAGAGCTGTAAACTGTATTTTGTGTTGCTACAAAATTTATTGCCACTGGTGGTCTGCTGGCCAAGTTACAGCTCAACTCTGATCTGCATCTCCTGGTACTGATGAAGGATCTCTGCCAAATGCTGCGCACTGCTGTGTAAGGGAATCAACAATTAAGTGCGAAGTCTGATATCTGGGTTTAAACGGCTGACAGAGCCTGCTGAATGCCACAACACAGATTTTATGTTGAATTTAAGACTCATTTTCCTATGTCAACTTTATGGTTGTATGGTGACTGCAGAAGAGGGATAGTTGAGAAATTGCTGCTGCACTGTTCGCCATTGCCCTTCTTCTAATTTTTTTCTCTTTGGCAACTGTTAGCAAATGCATGTTCCTTTATAAGCAAACTTATACAAGGAAGACATGTGCTAGAAAACAGCCTGGAATCTCAATGGTTGTTCTTTAACATTGCTGTAAGAGCCTCAGGTTTTTTTGAACCGTTTTCATATATATGACAGGCTTCCCACTAATCTTAGGAGGTTTTTTTTAATGTGAACTTCTACTTTGAATACATATTACTGTATTTTGGAGAGGACTTTTGGAAACCATGCTTCTAAATCCATTTCTGCAGACCACACGCTACACTTCCACTGTAGCCCCTACACTTGTGTGAGTAGCCACCAATTGGCTAAACCAGAATTAAATTTGTTTTACACATCGCTAGAAAAGTGGACGCTTGTGTTTTTGTTTTTCCACCCTCAGTCTCTACCTCTGTTGAATAGACTCCTTAGGACTAGGACAATTCGCTTGTTTTCTTGCTTATTTTTTCTTACAATTTCTTACAAATTTCTAAGACTGTTTGTAACAAAAAAAACCCCAAAACAAACCCACTCATCACTTGTTCTTACTTTGTTAGGTTTGGTTAAAACAAACATTTTTTGTTTCCTCTCGTTTCAGTCCCTGCATGCTGCTCAGCTCGCTACAACCTAGCCCTGCTGGCCTTTTTTGGGTTCTTCCTCCTGTACGCGTTACGTGTGAACCTAAGCGTTGCTCTGGTGGATATGGTAGAGCCTAACACAAGCTTAGCAAAGAATACGACTTCCAATGTGTGTCCAGATCATTCCTCCTCCATAAATGTTCCTCGCAACACAACGGTGAGGTCTCAAACATATTTTCCTTTAAAGTATCATGCAAAAATGTCTTGAATAGAAGGCTGTGATTGATGACTCATGCTTAGGTGGCAAGAGGACAGGCTCCTCTTTACCAGATGGCCTTTTCAGTGGTTCCTTTAAAGCTCTTCTGAAAAATAATAGCTTTAAATGACTGGCTAATTTAGAAGACTCTGCTCAGGGTTCCTTTTTTTTAATGTACATCCTTGTGTGCTATTCCTGACAAATTGGCTGATTTGACCTTGTAGATCTGCTGGGACTCGCTGTTTTATATGCCAGTGATCAACTGTTGCTGTTTCATCTGCGTCAGAGCTCGCATCACTGTCTGTATCTGTCTGTTCTTCGTACAGTCTCAATGGCATGAAATCTCATTACAAATTAACATGTAATGTTGTTCTTCTCGCTTCTTTGATCTCTTTCCCAGACCATGATTCTTGTCTTTATGGCCTTTATCTCCGATTTCCCTTCCACTAATCCTTAAAGTCACATTTCTTAACTGAACAGAACTGTTGGGTATGAGAAAATGTTTTCTTAAAAAAAACCAAACAACAATCCACAACCAACTTTGTGAATTTGAACTTGCATAGATCCTATCTAATAATTGAAATTTATTACCGAGCACTCTTGCCGTCTTCTTGCCTTCATTTTGCTTGCTCATGTAGAGGTCATTTATTATTAATCAGAAGCAAATTATAACTGCGAACTTTATGGGAAGAAGATTCTGCCTCATCACTTCTGTGAAATGTATGCTGCTCATTTAGATGCTCAAAAATTGGACTTTTGGAAGTGATCCCAAACTTCAAAACCACTTTATTGGGCAGTAGTTCATGTCTTCTTGCTGACTTCCTTTATAGCTTCAGGCTCCTTATCTCGATCATCTTTTCTTTTATTACTTTGTCTGCTGAAGTCATCTTCCCTCTGCTGTGCTTATCCCCTTTTTCCCACCTACCCTTGTAAGTCCTGTCTTTGGTTGCTCTCTTTCTTTATATTAAATTTAAGCATCTGCATCTCCTTGTTTGCTTTTCTGTCCATAAACTTTCTGCAGGACAAGCCTTTTTGTAGAGAATGCCAATGTCCACACTGTGATACAAGAAGTGGGATTCATACTCTCGCAGACGACGTAATCTGTACCCGTGTCACCTAACCCAAAAAGGGATAACTGCCTGAGTGCTTATATTTCACATTGGGATGTTTTTTTGTGATGATGGATTAAAGTTATATAAAGTATGGTCAGATAAATTGCTCTTTTGAACTTACTGCATTTAGGTTCTTTGATTATTCTTTTTTCTTTTGTTTTTAGGGGGTAAAGTATTCTTGGGACGCTGATACTCAGGGATGGATCCTCGGTTCTTTTTTTTATGGCTATATCGTCACTCAGATTCCAGGAGGATATCTTGGAAGCAAAATTGGAGGGAAGCTGTTACTGGGGTTTGGCATCTTTGGTACCTCAGTATTTACCTTGCTTACTCCCTTAGCTGCAAATCTGGGAGTTGGCTACCTCATAGCTGTCAGAGCCTTGGAAGGACTGGGAGAGGTAATTCTTTTCCTCTATGGAGCTTGAACATGTATCTGAATATTTGTATTTATATTGTATCTGAATAATTTACTAATAAAATTATAGTGCTTAGACCCTGTGGGTATTGCTATGCTGGAATTGTACATGGATTGTTTCCTTTTGAGAGTTTAGCTTTAATTATTTTGAATAATTAAAAAGTTTGCCCTGTATTTTAGCTTGAACTTTTTGAATAAGAAAAGGGTTTTATTTGTAAGGACATTTGAGACAAAACTAGAATTGTCTCTTCTCATCTGTCAGAAACCAGGATCTTGAAACACTATCGTTTGTATTTTTACAGCTTTTCCAGTATATACAGAATCAAGAGCAAGAGAAATTAATTCCATTTACTTACTCTCATGCCTTGCACGCTTTTTAAAAGTGGTTTCTTGGTAAACAAGAAACTAACAGACTGTACTACTGCTTTTAAATGAAATATGCTTTGAGTTCTAACATTGTTCCATGTCAGTAAAATAAAATCTTTTCTAGGGTGTTACCTTCCCAGCAATGCATTCAATGTGGTCATCTTGGGCTCCTCCACTGGAACGCAGCAAGCTCCTTAGTATTTCATATGCAGGTGAGAAATTCCCACGCTGATAACGGGATTATACATTTTTACTGCAGTAACTTAGAGGATCGACTTAAATCAAAAGGGATTTATATTAAAATTTTAATCGGCATTTAATCTGGAAAGTATAACATTGCATTAAATCTTGCTTTGCATTCATTATCTTCATTTATTCATGGCTTTTATAACCCTGAGAAAAGTACTGATCTGCAGTGAAGTATAAACTTCAGACTAACTTTGGTATAAAGCGGTGCAAAGAGTTACTGTGAAGCTGATTAACAGAAGATACTGTAAATAAAGGAGATTTAGTGCTAGGCACAGAAAAGCTGGGGCAGAATCACAGGATAGAGGTGTGTGGTTTTTTAGTTTTTTTGGGTTTTTTTAAAGTGTTTTTGGAGGAACTCAAGGAAGAAAATGTCCAAGGTCCCAGGTATTACTGCAAGAGCTCCTTGTCAGAGTCCAATACTCCCTGACCAGATTATTTTAGATATTCTACATGTGAAAGGTGTAATGTTTAATATCAAATGTACTTATTTGAAGATGCTTGATATTACACAGGATTTTTGAGTTAGCAGAGTGGTACAAAATATACTGAAAACAGTACAAATGTAAGCTAACATCTAGCAAAATATCACAATTGCAATACACATTTGCATTACTGGTCTCTAATATGCTCACCATCACGACACCGGGAATCCCTGGTCGCGGGGAAGGAATACATGGGTTGAAGGCAGCTCAAGTCTGTTGTTCTCTTAGAAATTCTGTTTTAGTTGTTTAGGTTTTGTACTCTGTTGGGCTGAGCCACATATTCACTCCCCTCGTGCTGGTCTGGCTAACTCAGGGTGACAGTCACACTTTTAATGAACTCATGGAGACACATGTACACCACCAGCTGATCCACTCAACTGCTGGTATCTCAGCTGATCCACTCAACTGACAGAGCTGTTTATCCAAAACAAAGGCCACCCTCTCGTCCCCTTTGTGTTGAGATAAAGTCAGATTCCTTTGCAACAGCAGTGGTCAGTCACACCCTGCGTTAGTCCCTGAGCCCATCTCCACTGAGATTTCCTCTGGTTTAGGGGTTTGCTGGTCAGTCCCATTGCTTGATGCAGCATTTGTGGGGCAGGTGAAAATGTATCTTTCTAAATTTACTTGTCAAAATTGATGTTATTTCTTTGAGGATGACAGATTTTGCATTCACTTAATGAAGTAATGGTTTGTTTACTCGCTCCTGTTAGTCTTAATTCTGTTACAGCTTTCTTATTTGACCTGGGCTTCATCAAGAAGACAGAGCTATACCATGTAAACTGTGGCTACAGTTTCTCAAGCAGCTAAGCCAGTTTAGTGGCTCACTTGGGCAAACAGGAATGAAGCCTTAATTCTTTCTTCCTCATGTTTCCTCACTTCCCTCCTAGTCAAGTGCCTCATTCCTTCCTTTGTGCTATTTCAAGCACTCACCAGACCCTTCCATGGGTCATAATAACATGTTTTCTGAGTTGAGATTAGGTTTGGAGAAGTGATTGTATGGCTAACATCAAGAGACAAGGTCTACTATTTCTCACCAGTAGAGTTCCTAAGTATGAAAATAATATGGGTTGGATTTGGGTTATCTACCTATCAAACCAGATTTGATAATCTGGTTTAGATATGGGGCAGAGGGAGGGAACCCACCGTCATTTGCAAAATATATATTGAATTATAAATTCAAGAATAGGTCTTTCCTGCTTTTGGCTTGTATCTGAAATGGAATTTGCTCATCTTTTCCTTCCTTTCCTGATCCTACACCCTGTCAAATTCAGGGACCATGGGATTTGAACCTGCTGGTTTTATGGATGCCCTCTGGCTCTTGTTCCTAGCATTCCTGTTTCTGTGGAGTTAGTAGGAGTTACGAGAAATGTGGATCGAATTTTATCAAGTCAAAATATTATCCCCATCTCTCTCAAGTCCTTACTTGTACTGTGCTCAGCTCACTCTCGTTTTGCAGCAATGCTGCTTGACTAATTTGCATTATTTTGGCTACGCTGGAGTCATCACTATTGGAGATGAATGTGCCAAGAGTGCCTGTCTTTTATCGCTCTTTGATTGTAATTTTGGATACTTGTGGCTCTGTTTACTTGGAGCTGCCAAAGCATCTTTTTTTATGCCTGTGTTTCTTTAAGGTGAAATGGCAGCTCCTAGTGGTGGTGAGAAATCTTTTCTGCCTGATTTATTACAGAAAAAAATAGAATAATTGTGAAATGCCACTTAGTTGAAGGGGGTCTACAGGAGATGTAATTATTATTTGAATTTTTATTATTTTAATAACTTTTATAATTTTAATTATTATTTTCCCACTTTGTTTTTCTTCTGGTAGGTGCACAGCTGGGAACTGTTGTGTCTCTGCCACTATCCGGTTTAATTTGTTACTATATGAACTGGGTTTATGTGTTTTACATATTTGGTAAGTGGTATTTTTTTAAAATTATTAAAGGTACATCTCATATTCTTTTTTAAAAGCATGGTATATTATAGAACTTATTTTAAGTTTTAAAGATGTATTAGACATCTTTTATTCCTCTGGGAAACTGGAGATATTTAAAGCTAAGTAGATTCCTGTGCATGTCTATATAAGCCTTGCTTCCAATGAGCAAAGCTGTCTCCGAGTTGGACAAAAGCTGGTTCAAGTCAAATGCTCTTAACTCTCCCGCCACTTGGAAACAGCAGGCTGGAATTTCTTATTTGAAGTGTGAAATTGAGTTAATAACTTTAATCCCAGGAACAAACTTCTCCTCAGAATGAAAGAACATGTGAAATGTTACTGCTCTTTTAAATGGAAAATCTCTCCAGCAGCCACAGGAGCCCTGAAGGAATGCCCAAAATGCAAGGCATAGCGTGTTTACTGGGAGTTACGTTCGAGAAGAAACAAAACCACAGAAAACAGTTTCTAATAGCATGTCATAGATCAAACTGATGCTTTTTGTAGGTCTGTTTAAATGCCTGAGCTGTTTCGTATTCTGCATGGGGAAGGAAGAATTAGAATAAAAGACAAGGGTTACACTTTCCTTAAGAAAAGTACCTCCAATTTCTGTATAAATAAGTGTTTAAAAGACAGAATTGGCCAAAGTTATATAAATTGCAATGTTTTATGAAAGTACAGTTGATTTGGGTTGACTATTGAAAAGGTACCATCTTTAAATGACAATTCTGGGGTCTGGCTTATGGTACATGGGTTCAGCTGTATGTAGTGATATTCTGTGTATATTTAAAAAGTACTTTTTTGTGATTAAATTTAACGTGAATTTTGATTTCCTCTGGGTGAGCCGTGTCCTCTCTGGTCATTCCATGTGACAGATAAAAATACAATATGTTTGTGTGCGCAACTTTCTTGCTGTACGAGGCATTTCCAAGAGGAAGGGAAAAAAAAGAAAAAAGAGCCCACAAAAAAGCACTTTCCTGCTTAGTCCTCTTTATTACTTCTAAATGTGCGTTGTTAAGCCACTTTGGGGAACTAGTGTTTGTATATAGATAGAAAAATAATGTTCATTAAAATTACATTAGAGTATTTGGAAAAAACATCTAAATCATCTGCAAATATTAGTCACACAAAAGAATTGCTTATGTTCTCATTCTATTTCTTTACCCATCTTCTCCCAACAATAGGTGCACTTGGTGTGTTATGGTTCTTCTTCTGGATGTGGCTGGTTAGCGATACACCAGAAACTCACAGCAGTATTTCACATGCTGAAAGGGAATATATACTCTCTTCTCTAAAAGATCAGGTACAGCACTTTGGTATAGTCGCACTTACTTAAATAAGAACATTGGCTGGATGGTCACATCCAGAGACTAGTGGTCAATGGCTCAATGTCCACATAGAAGACAGTGACAAGTGGTGTCCCTCAAGGGCCTGTACTGGGACCAGTGCTGTTTAATTTCTTCATTAATGATACTGACAGCGGGATTGAGTTCACCCTCAGCAAATTTGCTGACGATACCAAGCTGGGTGGTGCGGTCAATGTGCCAGAGGGAAGGGATGGCATCCTCATGAGGTTCAACAAGGTCAAGTGCAGAGTCCTGCACCTGGGTAGGGACAATCCTCATTACTGATACAGGCTGGGAGATGATGTGATAGAGAGCAGCCCTGAGGAAAAGTACTTGGTGTACTGGTGGATGAGAAGCTGGACATCAGCCACCAATGTGCATCTGCAGCCCAGAAACCAACCGCATCCTGGGCTGCATCACAAGAAGTGTGGCCAGCAGGGCCAGGGAGGGGATTCTGCCCCTCTGCTCTGCACTGGTCAGACCCCACCTGCAGTGCTGCATCCAGCTTTGGAGTCCCCAACACAAAAAGGACATTGAAGTGCTGCAGTGGGTCCAGAGGAGGCCACAAAGATGATCAAAGGGCTGGAGCACCTCCCCTGTGGGGACAGGCTGAGAGAGTTGGGGCTGTTCAGCCTGGAGAAGAGAAGGCTCCAGGGAGACCTTATAGCGACCTTCCAGGACCTGAAAGGTGCCTATAAGAAATCTGGGGAAGAGCTGTTCCCTAGGGCATGGAGCAATAGGATGAGGGGTAACGGTTTTAAACTAGAAAAGAGTAGATTTAGGTTGGATATGAGGAAAAAGCTCTTCCCCATGAGGTGGTCGATCAGTGGCCCAGGTTGCCCAGAGAGGTGGTGCAGGCCCCGTCCCTGGAGATATTCAAGGTCAGGCTTGATGGGGCTGTGAGCAACCTGATCTGGTACCAATGTCCCTGCTGACTGCAGGGGTTGGACTGGATGAGCTTTAAAGGTCCCTTCCAACCCAACACATTCTGTGATAAACCAGAAATATCATCATTAGCATCATGCTTTGTTGATATCTAGAAAAACATCCTTAATCTGAGATAAAAGCAAAATTTGTCAAACAAAAAGTTAAAAATACAATGTAGTTGTATGAGTGAGAAACAACCCGGGAATCAAACAAAGCATTTATGATAATACTTTTTGTCACAGATGTTGCTGTGGTGCTTTTTAAATAAAAAGCTCAAGTCTATCACTTCTATTTAAACAGGATCCAGAGCTGTATAATGTCTTTAAACTTTGTGGTACAACATTTTACAACTTTTTTTAATATGTCTTTTGGAGTAAGAAAGAGATTACTGTTTGTGGAGAAAACACTTTGAAAATGCTAAAGAGCTGGTTCCTAAAGCATGCATAAGAGTTTATTCCTGTGACTGGGAATGTGTTTACAACCTATGAAGCTGGCTGAGAGACCAAAGTTAATATCTAGGATTGAGTAGGAAAGATTCAGCTGAATTAACACAGGGTGTGACTTTTACTATGAATGATTTAAGGTTTAAAGCAGAAGGCAACAAATCTCAATGAGGGAAGGCATACTCGTTGAAATTCTGATTACAAAACTGATTACAGTGATTGGTTTACATCGCAATAGTTAACAACAGAGCAGTAACATACATTAATATACTTCCAGTATACATTAGTATAGCGGTAAAATTATGAAAGGATACTAATTTTCAGTAGAATATTCAGTATTCAGCACAGTAATTTATTCATTGTGAATAGATTTGGGTAGGATCAAAACACTGTACTTAATAAATGTTGATATTGATGTCCTGATCACTCTCTTCCCTTTTTCTAGCTTTCCACACAGAAATCAGTTCCCTGGAGGCCTATACTGGAGTCCCTTCCCCTCTGGGCTATCGTTGTGGCACACTTCTCTTATAATTGGACTTTCTATACACTTCTTACGCTCTTGCCCACGTACATGAAGGAAATCCTGCGGTTTGATGCACAGGAGGTGAGAGAAGTAAAAATACAGTCACTTTCTTCTGAATTAAAGAAATACAATAACAGAGATCTTCCCTGCTGTTTAGAATAGCAGAACCTGTTTAAGAACCTTGGAATGTAAATTTATAGCTGGGAAATGGTAAAATAAATCCCCACAATCAAAAATGTTGCTTGCCTTTTAATTTCCACTTGTTTTGAGGACTTATTTGACACATAGCTTAGTGCTAGCTTTCAAGCTCATTTTTCTGGTTGAAGATGCACGTTATCCACTTTTAACCGCTCCAATTTAAAACAATAACTTTAAAATCTTTTTCTCTGTTATATGGTTTGTATGATTGCTTCAGATTTTATAGCTTGTTCTATGGCCTCTGAGATACTATCTTGTAATTCTTTCCTTGCTGGTAAAGGAGAACATTTCCAGTTAAAAGAGAAAAATAAAACTAAGGAAATCATTGGACAAGTGGCATTCTTGAAAGTATTTTAAGTATTTTATTTCCCTTTGCAAACTGTCACTTTCTTTCCTTTTCTCAATGAGCAGCAGAGGTAAAAATACCTTGTTTTTTCAGTAAGGATGAAATGAAACCATAGACTTATGGTTCAGATATAGTGCTCATCAAGGAATTTTTTTTAAATGAAATTATTTCTCAGGGGAAAATTACAGGAGTGGGGAGGTGGAATATTCTTATTTATAGCAATTACTTGACTGTACCAGTCTTTAATGGCAGTTTCAGTGATAGTATAAACATCTATGAAAGTCATTTGCTCCAGCACCCCTCAATTGTGTGTGTTTCGTAAAATGTCATTGCATTACATGCGAACAGGTTCTGCCGTGAAGTGGTTTCCTATGTCTCTGGGTTATGTTTCTTCTTTTTGGAGTGACTTACAGGACTGACTGTTGGCAACATTAAAGAAGAAAAAGCTTGCATAATGGTGTTGGAGTAACTTTGTTGCCACACATTACGATGGAAATTGCATTACTGATTAAAATATTATGCAGTCGCTACTGTATAGTCCACCAGTCTCCATCCTAGAAAAAAGGGGTGGTTACAAATAGTGCTGTATCTTTGAACAGCACTTCATGAGAAGCTGGCGATTCTTTTGTTGCTGAGACTATCTTCTACTTTTCAAAACTTACTGCTTTTGAAAGCTGAGCATTGAAACACAACAGGCAGCACGTTTGAGTGCTGATAGAGTGAATTTCAGGTGGGGATGTATTTCTGGGCTCATTTCAAGTTAGATTTCCTAGGGAAGCTTTTGCTTCTTCTTTGACCATTATCTATTTTATATCAGTGTATAAATGTTAGTCTGTCTATCCAGTAGCTATCCAAATACCTCTTTTTAATCACAGATCAGGTCAAATTATAGTTCTGCTATCTGTAATTGTCCATAATTGTATAGAAAGGCTGTAAACCTATGAAGCTTACTAGTACCTTTTGTTTCTCCTCATCAAAAAATATGATGAATTGTGCAGAAATCTCTAAACAGCTCTTATTTAATAAGTAATGGAAGTTAACTTCAGTGTAAGTAGTGTCAGGTCCCAAGTAACAGCTTTGCTTTGGGATCATAGGATGTCTAGCCTGGATATGATTAATCCTAATTCTGTATCTTGTCTCTGATCACAGCCAGCATCAGATGTTTCAGCAGATAGATGTGGGATAATGTAATGCTGAAGAGTTATAGAAGACAAAACCCTGAGATTTCATGTAGCTTTCAAAATTCTGAATAACATTTACAGCTTCCACTTACTTTGGAAACTCACTTGAAAGCCTGTCCTTGAAATTGATGTTTCTGGAAACCTGCATGATCTGTTTAACGTCCACAAGTTACCTTCATGTATAGTTTTCTTTATGCTGAACCCGGTTGTGATTTAAACTTTTGAGTTTTTTGTCTGGCTGCATTGGTAGTTATGGATTAAGTCATGCAAGTGAGAGTTTACACACTGGTGTCTTTACAATGCTTTGCTTTTTTTGTCCTTAGGTTTCTCTCTTATGGTAATACCAACAATAGTGATGTGGATGGATGGTTTTGACACCTCTGGTTCAGTCTCTGCTAATGCTCCAGCACAAGTGATTTTTCAGCATATTGAATTGTCATTTCAGAGTTTTAACTGTCTTTTTTTATCTCCTTAACAGAATGGGTTTTTATCTGCCCTACCTTATTTTGGCTGCTGGTTATGTATAATTCTGTCTGGGCAAATTGCTGATCATTTACGGGAAAAACAGAACTTGTCCACTGTTTGTGTTCGCAAATGTTTCACCCTAATAGGTAGGTGCAAATATCACCTCTGTTTGGAACATGTAATACCAATCTGGGGAAAATTAAGGGTTTAGGAGAGTAGTGAGACATTCTGCTGTGAGATTAGGCAGGATTGTGTGTGGCTTGAGAGGAGCAGCTTTAGTAGTACATTAATTTGTCAAGAGTAAATCCTATCTTTTTCCATTTAAAAAGGAAGCCTATTGGATAAGAGAACAATAAGAGATTGCCAGAAGCTTTGTTTAGGTCAAGATACCTCATTCTTGCAAGCAAACTGATTAAATAAATGGTCAGCTAGAATAATCATTAAAGTGGTAATAATTGCTTGGCAGAATAACACTTTGTGAATGGCTTTCTCAAATGGAGACGGGATATTGTTCTGCATGAGCCTATTCCCAGCCCTGTGTTGTGCAGTTTTGTTTATTTAAGACTTAAGTAACTGAATAGGATTACACTTGTAAAATGTGCAGTTGCTACCAGAGTAGGAGAAGACCAAATAGAATCCAAATTTATCTTGACTAGTCGGGAGGAGAGATGATCTGAAATCACCAAGAGATCAACAGGATCCAGCTTTTTAATAAACACAAGTAGAAGGCTGTATTTAGGAAGGAGAGAAGTTGATTGCAGATTAAAAGAAGAGGCAGGGGAAAGAAGGAGCCAGCAGGCTCCCTTATAGATATACCAGATGTTCAGATCTTGTAAAAGTGAAATAAAACTCATTCTAGAAGATGTCTGCAGGAGAAGTGTGTGTGTGTGTGTGTGTGTGTGTGTGTGCGTGTGTGTATATGTGTGTGTGTGTGTGTGTGTATATGTGTGTGTGTGTGTGTGTATATGTATACACATATATTTGTATTAACTGTTCCAGCTCTACCTTATTATGACCTGCAGAAGTCAGTGTTTGCTCCTGAAACCTGGAGAGTTAATTGGGGATAATTTCTATGTAGTGCAGAGTTCACCTACCAGTGTCTGTGTGGCTTCTGTTATTTCTGTAACAATAACTAAAACTCACTTGTGAAGTCACTTTCAGTAAATGTAAGATTACTTTCAGTAATCACTTTTCAGTTGATTTTTGTTAGTTTTTCTTATCTAGCTGAAGTTTGTCCTTTGTAGCCAGAGTGGGATTTTTCTTGCCTGGCTTTGGTTTCCTGAGGCAGCAACAGGTTTGTAAGCCCCTGTAATGTATGTAATGCAGTACTGGATTCTGTACACTAGGTGGTGGTGAAAGTTGTATAGAAAATATAGACACAGCTTAGAGCCTCTTGGTGTCTCTCCTGTTAAAAGTCCATTGATTCTAAGATTTCTGTCTCACAGGAATGATTGGACCTGCAGTGTTCTTGGTAGCAGCTGGGTTCATAGGCTGCAACTATGCGCTCGCTGTGGCATTCGTGACCATATCAACAACACTGGGAGGATTTTGCACATCTGGCTACAGTATCAACCATCTGGACATAGCACCTTCGTGAGTATTGTTGAAGCTATTGCAAGTGCACATCATACATTATGACCATGTTTCTTTGTATTGCTGAGGTGTCTGGCAGGTTTAGCTATGAACCATGAAATGTAAACACCAACAGTGACCCAGGTTTATGATTTTAAGCACTGTATTTGCAAAAAGCGCAAGCTTGGCAGAGGATATGATATGAACAACAGTTTACAATAACTCAATTTTTGATCCTGCAGTAATAAATAATATAATTTCAGTAATTATATTTACTAAGCTTGTGTCCTGTTTGATTAATGATCTTAATAGGACAGGTTTTTGGAACAGTGCAATGCCATTAAGTGTTTCACTCTTTTAAACTTTTCCATCAGAACTATCAACCTTTAGCATGAACATAACCATATTTAAGCATTGTGATACAGGGAAATTGTTTGTATTTGAAACATATATTCTATACACTGGTATTAAAATCTCATTATAAGTAAGTGACCTGTTAACAGGAGATGATGAATCCCTTATGTATAGGATTAAACCACTGTTTTAAGAACGGAAAGCTAAACTTCAGGCTGTAATTTCTCAAATATGTTACAAATTAAGAACCTGTCAGACCCATCAATTTCCTGAAAAGCATGGGTGTATGTGTATTCTTTTGAAAGTCCACATAAGCATTCTTTGCACTGGTAAAAGTCAAATACTTTGCTCTGTCATTCATTTACCTATTTGTGGTAGCACTCAGATATGATCAGGGTCAAATTGCTTTATGACCAAAGAAGAGATTGTTTCTATACTAATGTGTAAGATGAAAAGAGTTTAGATGGAGAAGGAAGAAACATTTTGTAGAGATGTTACCTTGGAAGAATCCTTAAGATCTGGACAACTTATGTGGGAGACCTCAGCTCCAAATTGAAGATGGTACCCAGGCTTTGGCAATTCAGGGTAGTGGTTGTGTCCACAGTGATGGACAAGCTTTGACAACAGATGGATATGAAATAGTGGGACCCCAATTAATCTTGGCACGTGAGATGAGGTAGCAAGCAAGAGGGAA